CTCCTAGACTACAAATAGCATGTAACAATATGCTCAGCAAGTATATGCAGGTAAACTAGTGCTGAATAATCTGGACCTTAGACATTAAAAGGGGTAAAGCCTGCATATGTATATTTGTATTTCCCCATTTTAAAAGCTTTGTGCAACGTTTTTTGTCGTTGTTGCTGTGTGATCATATTCATATGCAATGGGATGGAAATCACTTCTAGTTAGGAATATCCCAAGGCGAATATTTGTGAAGATTACTAAACTCAATAACGTAAAGATGCTAATGGTGAGAAATATCTGTGCTTACATATAACGTGTGTAAAAGGATTACTGCCTGGTTAGATCAATCCATCAGACGTGAGAACCAGGTGCAGCGTTATCCTACCAGAACAGCGACTAATGGTCAAATATATGAGCCAGCTGCACACGTTAGGAGGCCTGCGCTTAGAGGCCAGGAGAGTGTTGAGATGCAGTGTTCAATTCTGACATTACTCCTCCATTCATCAATTCATTTATTCCGTCATCGCTGTGTTCAGCAGGCATATCATTAGTACTATTTGATCAATTATTGTAATAATAATGTGTTATACAATTAAAATGTTGTTAGGGGAAGATACCGGACAGGCCCATAATGGTTTTGTATCCTCCCCCTGAATATCTTATGTTGTTATGTTTATTTTATTACTTGGATCATTTGCTAAATAACCAACCAACCAACCAACCAACCAACCAACCAACCAACCAACCAAACAAACAAACAAACAAACAAACAAACAAACAAACAAACAAACAAACAAACAAACAAACAAACAAACAAACAATGCTGTGTACTATACATAATGACAACCTTAGATGCCATCTTAGAATTATGTAAGATATGTCAATTAGTCTATTGAATTATGCCGTGAACATTTCGTCGCTGGTAAAAATAATGAAGTTCAAATTTCCAAGTATTTTGTAAGTCAGGTATCCTATTTGAACGCCAACGCCGACATCTACTCATCAATGATATTTTGAACCAGGAAGAAACTATGTGTCACCGTGCAATGGGTAGTTTTCATACACCAAACAGAAAGGCTAGAAAGGGTGTAGGATGATAAAGCTGTTTGTCTGGGATGTAAATGTTGTTGAAACAGCAGGTGTCAAGAAGCTCCCACTTATCAAAGTGAAGTAATTTTTACCCAAACTGTGTCGAACTAATGGAGTGGAAGAAAAGCAGTTGAATCCCCCCAGTTCGGATTGGGGTCGTTGGCCCGACGATAAGTCTTTTTAAAACGAAAGCCAGTAGGACATTTTTTGCCTAGAATAGTTTCACCACAAGCCCCGTGTGGGTGGCTGTTTAATTCATTATAGTCGCTGTTTGATACAACCCTTCTCTTGTTGCGCATGAATTATATTCACATGCGAATAAAGCAGCGCCCGATGGATAGATCGTTAATTGGGCTGATTTTTGCGAGAACGGAACAATTACGCTGTGTACCTGTCACGATCTCGTTTTGTCAAGCAGGATAATCATAGGCTGTCTTGTTAGTCTAATTTCCCCTGCGACTTACAGCACATAAGACAGCTGGATTACATTTATAAGACGATGTCTCATATCACATACCAAATGTCTTTCACATCCGTAATACATTCAGATTCATAAATGTTTTGTGCCCTTTTGATATTCGGATTAAAATGTCAGTTGAGAGATCCAAAACGTTTGCTTTGCATCATCATAATACACTTAGACGTTATTTGCCTACATGTCAGGTCTTTAAAAGTTTCAGTATGCCAACAGTTTGTTTGTTGGTTTTTGGTTTTACGAAGATAACGTCATTTATCCCAAAACCTAAATACACGGAGCTCCCCTCGCTGCTTCTACAATTTATGTGCACATAAAGGAAAAGATAAAATACCAATTGCCATACCATGGCAGTTCATGTAATAGGTTTTACATTCCATTGGAGGTAATAGAATATAGGTTGATATGGACTAGTAAATCTTGTTTTATATCTCCATGATGCTCATAACTTTATCTGATATAGATTATGCAAAACAGAAACGATTTTACACACTCCTTTAACACTCACCTTGACAACAATGGGTGTAGAGCGTCAGTAAAATGCTCCTGACACAACACGACCTT